TTTGTCAAACAGTTCCAATACAACATCGACATTGCCCCAGACCGCATTTCCCTTTCAAACCTGAAGAAGAAACCAACTAAAAGTTTCAGGGAATATGTCATTAAATGGAGAGAGCAAGTAGCTCGAGTTAAGCCACCCATGGATGACCACGAGCTAATCACTGTCTTCCTTCAAGCGCAAGAGCCAGATTACTTTCAAAACATGATGTTCGCAGTTGGCAAATCCTTCTCGGAAGCAATCAAAATGGGAGAAATGGTAGAGAATGGTCTTAAGACAGGCAAAATTATAAGTCAAGCAGTTCTTAAAGCCGCAACTCAGGCTGTCCAGGTTGAATCTGATAATTTTAGTGACACAAATGAGAAGGATGAAGAAATCATGATGACAACATGGTCGAGAAGAGGTCACAGGAGAGCACCTCAAAGGTATGTGCAACCTCATCAGGTTTTCCATGACTCCCTTGAGCACTCCTATCCACCTCAAAACTCACAATACCCTATTGTTCCACCTCAATATGTCATCCAACCACCAAAACACCCCAGAAGGCAAACACGAGCATCACAAAATCTCTACCAGCCTCCATAAAATTGTCAAGTGCCCTATAACCCACATCCCTGCCAGGGGTATAGAAGGGAACAAACGTTGAAAGATAATTTTACACCAATAGGAGAGTCCTATGCAAGCTTATTTGAGAAGTTAAAGAGTCATGACATGATTGCACCCATTCCTCCAAATCGTGTAGACCCACGTGCAAGGAGCTTTGGCCTATCTAAAAGGTGTGAACACCATTTCAATGCCTAGGGGCACAATGTTGAAAGTTGTCGGGATTTGAAAAGAGAAATATAAAGGATGATCCAGGAAAACCTGATTGTGATCCAAGGCAGTGACATCCTGAATATTGCACAAAATCCTTTACCTGCACATCATGATGCACACTTTGTGGGGATGATGCCTGGTGACATGGAGTATGAGAATCCTCTCGGGAACTTGCTAACTGAAGTTAATGATGTTCAAATTGGAGAAGGCTCTGCTGATTCTGATGAGCAAATTTGTGGCTAAATGCCAAGCCTATCAATTGAAAAGTCATTCTCTCTGCACTAGGAAGGAATCTTGGTAGCTTGTTTTGATGTTTTTTCTATTATCTGGGTTATTTCAGGGTTGTGATCCAGATTTTATTTGCTTTATTGAGTCAAACCCTTCTATCCCTCCATTCTGTTTGTGTGAGTCTTGTCTGTCTATTCCATTGGTATTTTCATTATTCGGGTTATTTTAGGGTTGTAACTCGTATTTTAGGTTGCTTTTTTAGTTGTAAAACCCTTTCATCCTTTACTCAATAAAATACAATTTGCCCTTTTGTGTCATTCTGTTCCTAGTTCTTTTCTCGCTAGTTCTAATGACATGACATGCATGCGGAAATTTTGGCCAGATCTTAGGAACTGATTTAATCTGGAATTAGATAACTAAAAAAAAATACTTTTGAGGATGAATAAAGAGTTGGAATACTTTGGAACTAAGGTCGAGTAAAATTCACCTTCAAATCATTGTGAAGATCGGGCTTGAGGATGTTTAATCAATTGATGTTTGTTGGAAAGTTTGTCACTAAGGGATGAAAAAATGTCTTGTGACCATGGCACACCAATAAGACAGACATGTTCGTCAATGCTGTGATCGCGAAAAGATACCATGTTTGACATTCTTGAGGTTGGGAGACCCTTTTTTCTGCTACCCAAACACTTTATATCCTTTGCTACCCCTTTTGAGTCTGTGTTATTTTTCTTTGATTACCCTCTTTTGGAATCAAGTTTAGAGTCAAAAAAAAGTCCATGCTCCAAGAGTACAAACTGGGGCAACTTTTAGAAAGCTCAAGTAAAAAAAAAAGAAGAAAATAATTGTCAAAGGTCCATGCCCTCAAAAATAGAAGCTGGGGCAAACAAAAAAAAGAAGAAAAAGATAAGAAAAAAAAGAGAAAAAAAGAGAGAAAAAAAATAGAAAGAAAGATAAAAACCAGTTTAGGCTAGATGTTTGAACTACGTTCGACCTAATTCCTTTATAAAAGGATACGTAGGCAGCCTTACGGTTCGGTCCAACCAAATAAGAATTCAAAAAAAAAATCCAAAAAATCCCCAATAGCTGAAACTAGGGCAGAGATTTTTATTTCACTTGTAAAAGAGTCGGTTCCAAGAGTTGTAAGTCCATAACCCCTCATTTTGAGTTTACTTTGAGCCTTCATGCCGACCTTTCTTTCCAACCCTATCCAAAATCCTTCCAAATAAAAACTTCCCGATATGTCTTCAAGAATGCCAAGAGAAGCATGCAATGAGCAATGGTTGTTACATGACGTAGAACACCGTCGAGTTTCTCACAAAAAGGAAAAGAAAAAGAAATGAAAAATGAGAGAGTTTTATTAGTGAAACCCTCACGGGCACTGTAAGACGACGGTAAGCAGAGATGAATAAATGAGAGAGACTTGTTGGTGACATGTATGCAAAAATTAAAGTCAATCAGACGTGATTTGATAGGTTTCGGCATCGTTTGAAGTTGGATTTTCTTAGTTTTTATTTGGCTTGAGTTGGGGTGCGATTCATGTTTATGATATTGTTTGATATAACTTGAGGCTCGACTAAGTTTGTATCATGTTTCAGGAGTTGTTGGTGTGTTTGGTTTAAGTCCCGAGGGCCTCAGGTTGATTTTAGATGGTTAACGGATCAAAAATGAAAATTAGTGCATTGTTGAAGCTGGGATTTTTCTGGTGTGAATACACATGCGAGGGGTTGGCCACAGGTGCTGCTGGAGTGGCACATAAGCGGGATTTGGTCTGTCCTTGGGTGTATTGAAGGTGCAGAACGAGGAGCGCACCTTCGAGTCCGCAGAAGCAAAAAGAGTGGTTGCATGTGCAGAAATTGGGACTTGGATCTGGTCCGCAGAAGCAGATGCTTTGTGCAGATGCATAGCCGCAAAAGCGGGATTTACGACCGCAGAAGCGGTTGGCCGGACATAAGTGGCTTGTCCATATGCTGATGGTTGACCGCAAAAGTAGTACCGCATAAACGGATTTTTGGACCTCAGAAGCGAGAAGGCATGGGCAGACTTAAATATTTCAAAACAAAATGAGGGTTTGAGTTCATAACACAAAATTGATTTTGGGAGCTCGGTGGGAGGAGATTCTTTGAGAGATTTTCAAGTGGGTGATCGAGGTAAGTGATTCCTACCTAGTTTTGGTTAATTTCCATGTTTATGTATTTAATTTCATTGATAAATTAGTGATATGAGGTGTTAAAATTGAGGAAAATAGAGGAAAGTTCTTAGGACGAAATTTTGAGGTTCTGATCGAAAAGTTCTTAGTGATATGGGGTGTTTAATTTCATTGATAAAGTTCTTAGACTATGTGTTGGTACTGTAGGGATCCACATAGGCCGTGTTACCTATTGAATTATCTAATAAATTGTTGTTTTGTTCTTAATCATAGTTTTACTTGCATATTATATCTCAGTCTCTATTATTTTTTTATTGATACATTATATCATTGCTTTTGGGCTGATTATCATGATTATTGACAGCCCATTAGATTGGAGAGATTGATGACTGAGTGAGGCCGTGGGACTGATTGTGAGGATATTTGTAGGAGCGGGATACACGTCGCGACATGTTTTATTGATTTATACCACGATTGGCTTGCTATAGCACTTGGGCTGAAGGAGCCCCTCTAGAGTCTGTACACACCCCCGATGAGCATAGGTACCTACTGAGTGCGTGTGCCGAGTGCCGTGTGCCGTGTGCGAGTGCCGAGCGAGTGGGGGAAATGAGAGACTGTGAGGAATGAGTGATTGTGAGGTTGGAGTGAATGGGAGGACTGAGTGACTGATACTCTGGGATTATTCACTTGATTTCATTATTGTTGTACTCTAGCTGGCATATATCATTGTCATGTAATTTTCTGAGAGATATTATATCCTATTTTATTGAACTTGACATAAATTAACTGTTTGGCCTTAACTGTCGAACTTTAAATCATGCGTATCTTCCTATGCTGTGATTTCTATGACTGAACTATATCTATGAAGCTCGTCACTACTTGTAGCCCATTATTTAGTCTTGTTACTTATTGAGTTGGTTGTATTCACGCTACACCCTGTACTTTGTGTGAGATCCAGGTGTTTCTGGACAAGGTCGGTGTTGATTATCTACGCAGCTTGTTCATTTGGAGATTTCAAGGTAGTTGTCCAGCGTTCACACACCTTGATTTTCCATCCCTATCTTTCAACTTTATGTACTTAGTTTCAGCTTTTCATAGAAAATATTTTTCAGACTTGTGTTGTATAGACGCTCATGTACTTAGTGATACCCTGGTTTTGGGGATTTCCATATTGTGTTTTGACTTTCTATCTAGTTTATAAGAGTTTTAATGTTTTAAACCAGTGTTATTTCATTTTTCATTTAAATGTGTTGGAAAGGTTTTGAGGTGTCAGCTTGCCTAGTACCATATTAGGTGCTATCACGATAGGCTAAGTTTTGGGTCGTGACAAGTTGGTATCAGAGCCTAGGTTACATAGGTCTCATGAGTCATGAATGGGTTTAGTAGAGTCTTGTAGATCAGTAAGGAGGCATCTGTGCTTATCTTCAAGAGGCTGCCAAACCCTTAGGAAACTTCACATTCTTGTATTCTTGTCATGCGGATTTGTTTATTCTGACAACTAAAATTTCTGTTATTCTATTCTTTCACAGATGGTGAGGACATGTGCTATCGAACAGGACGAACAACCACCAATAGCATCGGTTAGGGCCACAAGAGGTTGAGGTCGCGGTAAGGGCAGAGGTGCAGCTCGTACAATAGTTAGAGCAGTGCCTGCAGATCCACCAGTTGCTTCAGCTCTAGAGCAGGTACCAGATAAGGTTGAGCCAGTGGGGCCAGCTCAGGCACCAGCTACGCACATTGTGATTCTAGGCCTTTAGGAGGCTTTGGTTTAGATACTAACTGTTTGCACTAGCCTTGCTCGGGTGGTCTCTATTCCGATCGCAGTAGTCATTTCTCAGGCCGAGGGAGGTATTAAGATTCCCGCCGCCCGTGCGCCAAAGAAGGTAATGCAGGGACTTCAGACACTAGGGTACTACCAGCCCAGCCAGTTACAGTTTCTCAGACCCATGTGGGTCCCATTATGAGTGATAATAAATAGAGGAGACTAGAGAGATTTGGGAGGCTTCAGCCTCCATCATTTAGCGGGGCTAAGTCAGAGGATGCCCATGGTTTCTTGGATAAATGCTAGTAGATTCTTTGCATGTCGGGCATTCTAGAGACCAGTGGGGTCTCGTTCATTACCTTTCAGTTTACTGGGGCTACCTTTAGATGGTGGGAGGATTATGAGAGGCGTAGGCCGGTCAGTGCAACACCACTCTTATGGCAGGAGTTCTCTATTCTCTTCTTGGAGAAGTTCATGTCGTAGTTTCGTAGGGAGGAGCTACGCAGACAGTTTGAGCAGCTATGTTAGGAGGGCATTTCTATGACCCAGTACGAGATGAGGTTTTTAGAGTTGGCTTGTCACGTAGTTTGGTTGGTTCCCACAGATAGGGAGAAGATTAAGAGGTTCATTGATGGCCTCACATATCAGATGCGGTTGCTTATGACTTGGGATAGGGTATCTGGCGCTACTTTTGACGAGGTGATTGATATTGATCGGCAGATAAAGATGGTCTGTAGTCAGGAGCATGAAGAGAGGGAGGTTGAGTAGCCTCGAGGTTCGGGTGGTTCTGATGGTGTTCCTTCTGGTGGGCAGTCCTACCACAGTAGGGGTCGTCTTTATAGGCCCGCTCAGATGGGTCGTCTAGTTCACAGTGGTGAATCATCCAGTCATGGTTCATATAGTGCTCCTCAAGGTCAGTCATCTCTCAGTGCCCTTCTAGCTTAGAGTTCATCTCGTGCTCCATCGGTTCAGGGTTCATCTATACCACGTTCTTCTAGCAATTATCATGGTATGCAGGACCCCCCTTCAGTCTCCACCACCATCATCGGGGAATTGCTTCGCGTGCAGGGAGTTTGGGCAGTGGAGGCAGTTTCCTAATCGCTCGGGAGGTCTAGTGCAGTAGAGGAGTCAAGCTCCAACTTCTGTGGCAGTTACTTCACCACATACCCACCCAGCTCGGGGTGGGGCCCAAGCAGTTAGAGGTTTCCCTGGAGGGGAAGGCCGATCAGGTGGCGGTCAGGCCTGATTCTATGTTATTCCTGCCTTGACAGAATTTGTTGCTTCAGATGCAGTGATCACATGTATTGTCTCAGTATGCTACAGGGATGCTTCTATATTTTTTGACCCCGGTTCTTCTTATTTGTATGTATCATCATATTTTTCTCATTATCTAGATATGCCCTATGATCCTTTAGTTTCATCTATTCATATATCTACGCCAGTGGGCGATACTATTGTTGTGGACCATATGTATCGGTCATGTGTAGTGACTATTGGGGGATTGGATACTATAGTGGATCTCTTACAGCTTAATATGGTTAATTTCGATGTGATATTGGTTATGGATTGGTTGTCTCCATGTCATGTATGCTGGATTATCATGCTAAGACCATGACGTTGGCGATGCCGGGGTTGCCAAGGATTGAGTGGAGAGGTTCTCTAGATTATGTTTCCAGCAGAGAGATTTCAAATTTGAAGGCCAAACGGATTGTTGGGAAGGTTTTTTTTATCTTATTTGGCCTTTGGGAGGGATGTTGGTACTGATACCCCCACTATTGATTCTGTTCCAGAGGTGCAAGATTTTCCATATGTGTTTCCTACAGACCTATCGGGTATACCGCCCGACAGGGATATTGACTTTGGATTGACTTGGTGCCGGGCACTCAGCCCATTTCTATTCCTCCGTATCGTGTGTCACCGACTAAGTTGAAGGAATTTAAAGAGCAGCTTCAACAACTTCTTAATAAGGGGTTTATTAGCACTAGTGTGTCGCCTTGTGGTGCATTGGTTCTGTTTGTGAAGAAGAAGGATGGTACCATGCATATGTGCATCGATTATAGGTAGTTGAATAAAGTTACAATCAAGAATAAGTATCCTTTGCCGCGAATTAATGATCTATTTAACCATCTTCACAGAGCGAGGGTGTTCTATAAGATTGACTTGAGGTCTGGGTATCACCAGTTGAAGATTCAGGACTCGGTTATTCTAAAGACAACATTCAGGATCGGTTATGGTCATTATGAGTTCCTTGTGATGTCTTTTGGGTTGATCGACGCCCCAGCAACATTTATGCATCTGATGAACAATATATTTCAACATTATCTCGACTCGCTTGTCATAGTATTCATTGATGATATCCTGGTGTACTCTCGTAGCTAGGAGGAGCATGCCCGACATTTGAGGATTGTGTTGCAACAACCGAGGGAGGAGAAGTTCTATGCCAAGTTTCCAAGTGTGAGTTTTAGCTTAATTCGTTGGCGTTCTTGGGGCACGTGGTGTCCAGTGAGGGGATTTAGGTGGATCCAAAGAAGATAGAGGCGGTTCAGAGTTGGCCTAGACCGTCCTCAGCTATGGAGATTCAGAGCTTTCTCGGCTTGGCCAATTATCATCATCTCTTCGTGCATGGTTTCTCATCTATTGCATCACCTTTGACCAAATTGACCCAAAAGGGCGCTCCTTTCACGTGGTCGGATGAGTGTGAGGAGAGCTTTCAGAAGCTTAAGACTGCCTTGACCACAACTCCAGTTCTAGTCTTGCCTTCAGCTTCAGTCTCTTATACAGTGTACTGTGATGCTTCTTGGATTGGTATTAGGTGTGTCTTGATGCATGAGGGTAGAGGGATTTCTTATGCTTCGCGCCAGCTAATGCACATGAGAAGAACTACCATGTCCACGATTTGGAGTTGGCTGCCAATGTTCATGCATTGAAGATTTGGAGACATTATCTCCATGGTGTGTCTTGTGAGGTATTTACGGATCATCAGAGTCTCCAGCACTTGTTCAAGCAAAAGGATCTAAACTTGAGGCAGCAGATATGGTTGGAGCTAATAAAAGACTATGATATTACTATTGTGTATCATTCTGAGAAGGCCAATGTGGTGACTGGTGCCTTGAGTAGGACAGCGGTGAGTATGGGTAGTCTTGCATTCATTCCTATTGGTGAGAGACGACTTGCAGTTGCTTCAGGCCTTGGCCAACCAGTTCGTGAGGTTAGATATTTCGGAGCCCAGTTGGGTTCTAGCTTGTGTGGTTTCTTGGTCTTCCTTATATGATCGCATCAGAGAGAGCTAGTCTAATGACCACCATTTGTTTGTCCTTAAGGACACGGTTCAGCACGGTGATTCCAAAGATATTACTATTGGGGGTGATGGGGTGTTGAGGATGAAGGGTCGGATTTGTGTGCCCAATGTAGATGGGCTAAGTGAGTTGATTCTTGAAGAGGCCTACATTTTGCGGTATTTCATTCATTTGGGTGCCACGAAGATGTACCAGGACTTGAGGCAGCACTATTGGTGGAGGAGAATGAAGAAGGACATAGTGGGATTTGTAGCTCGGTGCCTAAATTGTCAGCAGGTGAAGTATGAGTATCAGAGTCCGGGTAGATTGCTTCAGAGGCTAGAGATTCTAGAGTAGAAATGGGAGCGGATCACTATGGATTTTGTAGTTGGGCTCCCACGGACTTCGAGGAAGTTCGATGCTATTTGGGTGATTGTGGATCGGCTGACCAACTCCGCGCACTTTATTCTAGCTGGGACTACTTATTCCTCAGAGCAGTTGTCTGAGATTTACATTCGCGAGATTGTTCGCCTTCACGGTGTGCTGGTGTCCATCATTTTAGATTGGGGCACGCAGTTTACAACACAATTTTGGAGAGCAATATAGCAAGAGTTGGGCACTCAGGTTGAGTTTAGTACAAAATTTCACCCTCAGATGGACGGGCAGTCAGAGCACACTATTTAGATATTAGAGGATATTCTACGCCCTTGTGTCATTGATTTATGGGGTTTTTGGGATCAATTTTTGCCGCTCGCAGAGTTTGCCTACAATAACAACTACCAGTCGAGCTTTCAGATGGCTCCGTATGAGGCTTTATATTGGAGGCAGTGTCAATCTCCAGTGGGTTGGTTTGAGCCGGGTGAGGCTACGCTATTAGGTAATGACTTGGTTCAGAATGCATTGGACAAGGTTAAATTGATTCAGGATTAGCTCCGCACGACGTAATCTAAACAGAGGAGTTACGCCGATAGGAAGGTTTCTGATGTTGCTTTCATCATTGGGGATATGGTACTTGTGAGCATGTGATTTTTGTCTTACGCGACAATCACTCCAAAAGAATTAAAAAAATAATAACAAATGGTCCTGCTGTACAAATTTGGATTTTTACATGGCACCTTGTTAATTATTTATGATTTTTGCCCTTTTTTTTTTATTAAAACAAAATACAAAATGTATGTGTCGTGCGTAATGTGAACCGTAATCCGATTGTTAAATAGGAAATCACAAAAATACGCACTTCTTTTGTCCTGATTTGTTGCTTTGTTTAAGTTTACCTACTTTTAACATTTTATACGCGTTAAATAAATATGTTAAGCGTTAATTAATGGCGTCTAGTTTTATTTAATTAGGTTGTGTATTTAGGAAATTAGAAATAAATAAAAAGAGGGAAAAATTTGTTTTAAAATGAATTTGGGCTACAAACATTATAAAATCTGAAGCC